ATAAGTATTACAAAGGGTATTACATATTCTTAACTCATTTTAAGAGGTCAGCATTACCCTGATTCCAAAGCCAAAACACTACAAGAAAACTACAGACCTGTATCCCTCATGAACACTGATGCAAAATCCTCAATAAAATACTAGCAAACTGCCCTGGCCAGTTTGGCTCAGTGGATTGAGCGTAGGCCTGCGGACTGAAGGGTCCTGGGTTCGATTCCAGTCAAGGGCACATGCCTAGGTTTTGGGCTCAATCCCCAGTGGGGGGCGTGGAGACAGCCAATCAATGATTCTCTCTCACCGATGATTCTATCTCTCTCCCTCTCCCTTCCTCTCTGAAATCAATAAAAATAAAAAAATAAAAAATACTAGCAAACTGAATTCAGCAGATTGAAAGGTTTATACACCATGACCAAGAAGAATTTATTCCTTAAATGCAAGGATGGCTCAACATACAATAATCCATTCATGTAATACAATAGAAAGGAAAAGGAACACCCACATGTTCACTCAATTGATGAAAAAAAGCTTTTGACAAAATTCAACTCCCTTTCATAATAAAAACATTTAACAATCTAGAAATAGAAGGAAACTTCCTCAATATAAAGCCATATTTGAAAAACCCATATCTGAACATCACACAATTTGGAAAGACTGAAAGCATTTTCCTAAAATCAGAATCAAAACAAAAGGATGCCTACTTTCACCACTTCTACTCATCATGTTACTGAAAGTTCTAGCCAGAGCAATTAGGCAAGAAAAAGAAATAAAAGGCATCGGAACAGAAGTATAATTATCTCTGTTCACAGATATGGTTTTACTAGAGGCCTGGTGCACGAAATTTGTGCACGAGTGGGGTCCCTAGGCCTGGCCAGCGATCAGGTTCCCCACCACCCTGCCTCCTCCTTCCCTCGCCGCCCGCGTCTGCCACCACCCACCCCCAGTTCCCCATCCCAGCCCGGGGCCTGGCCCCGATTGGGCGAACGGGACCTGCCGGCCAGAGGGAGGGACCGGGAGGTTGCCCAGCAGGCCCTGATCAGGCGACTGGGGCCTGCCAGCCGGGGAGAGGGACCCAGGAGGTTGGCCGCCGGCCCCAAGGAGGGAGCCGGCCCTCAGCCCCCCTGGAAAAGGGGCCACGTCCGCCACCACCCACTCCGGGTCCCTGTCCCAGCCCCTGGGGGGGGGTGGCTGCCAGCTGGGGGAGGTACCGGGAAGTTGGCTGGCAGGCCCCATCGGTGATCAGGGCCTGCGGGCTGGGGCAGCTCCTGTGATGAGCATCTGCTCCCTGGTGATCAGTGCGCATCCGTTATAACAGTCGCTTAGGCTTTTATATACAGAAGGTCCTCAGGTTACGTCAGAGATCCGTTCCTACTGCGCGATGTAATGTGATTTTCCCCGTAAGTCGGAACCCACCTACATAAGCACCTACGTCACTCACATGGAGCACACACACAGCAGTAATGAAGTGAAACAGTAAAAAAAAAATTAAAAGAAAGATAACAATTCCTGACCTTTACTTGTGGTAAATAAATAATAAAAAAACATAAAGCACATATGTACATACATTGAAATGACGGAACTTTTTTTTTTTTTAATAAATAAATGAGATGGCGACGTAACCACGAAACAACGTACGTTGAGTCTGACGTAACCCGAGGACTGTATGTATATAGTTAAGATATGCAGAAAACCTAAAAGAAGCTACAAAAGCTGTTAGAACTAATAAATGAATTCGGCAAAGTTCCAAGATGCAAAATCAACAGAAAAAAATATCAATTGCATTCTACAGACTAACAATGAACAATCTGAAAAGAAATTTAAGAAAACAATCTCATTTACAAATGCACAAAAAAAAGGATAAAATATTCAGGAATAAATTTAACCAAGGAGCCCTGGCCGGTGTGGCTCAGTTGGTGGGAGTGTTGTCAAAAATTAACTCAGAATGCCAGAACCGGTTTGGCTCAGTGGATAGAGCGTCAGCCTGCGGACTCAAGGGTCCGGGGTTCGATTCCAGTCAAGGGCATGTACCTTGGTTGCGGGCACATCCCCAGTGGGGGGCGTGCAGGAGGCAGCTGATCGATGTTTCTCTCTCATCGATGTTTCTGGCTCTCTATCCCTCTCCCTTCCTCTCTGTAAAAAATCAATAAAATATATTTTTTTAAAAAAATTAACTCAGAATGGATCAAAGTACTAAACACAAAAGCTAAAACCATAAAACTCTTAGAAAAAAAACATAGGAGAAAAGCTTCATAATCTTGAATTTGACAATGGTTTATTAGGTTTGACACCAAAAGCAGAATCAACAAAAGAAAAAAATAGATAAATTAGACTTGATGAAAATTAAACTTTGTCCATCAAAGCACATTATCAGGAAAGTGAAAAGACAACCTTGGGAATGGGAGAAAATAGTTTCAAATCACCTATCTGAAAGGGGTTAATATGCAGAATATATTAAGTACTATAATTCAACAACAAAAACCCAACTTAAAAATTGGCAAGAGCTACATAAACATTTCTCCAAGGATACACAAATGGCCACCATTGCACGAGAAGATGCTCAACATCATTAGGGAAACATGAATCAAAATCACAATGTGATGCCATTTCATACCCATTAGGATGGCCATAATCAACAACTGGAATTCTGTGCACTGCTGCTGGGAAACGAGGAGGCTGCTATGGAAATCAGTCTGGCGGTTTCTTAAAAAGTTAAACATAGAATTGCTATGTGATCCCCAAATTCCACTTCTGTGTATATACTCAAAGGAATTAAAACTAGAGACTCATTCATTACTCACAACAGTCGAAAGCTAGGACAACCCAAATTAACAAACAAAATGTGGTATACACAGTTGGCCCTTGAAGAACACAGGCTCGAACCACATGAGTCCACTTATAAGCAGACTTCTTTTCAATAAATACACAGTCGGCTCTCGGCATCCCAGGTTTCCCACCCTCGATTCAAACCTTGGATTGAAAACAGTATTTTGACCCAAAGTTGAGAAGCCATGTATGCAGAGGGCTGGCTTAAGGTCTACATAGATTTTTGATTGGGGGGGGGGGGGGCAGGCACCCCTAATCATTGTTCAAGGGTCAACTGTACATACGATGGAATACTGTTCAGCCTTAAAAAGGAATGAAATTCTGACACATGGCACAACATGGAAGAACCTTGAAGACGTTAAGCTGAGTGAAGTAAGTCAGCTAGAGAAGGACAAATGCTACAGAATTCTACTTATATAAGAGATATAAAGTAGCCCCATTCATACACAGAAAGTGGAATGGTGGTTGCCAGGGGCTGGGATAAGAGGGGGATGGGGTTTGATTCTGATACTATTTAAAAGGTAGTTTCCACCCTGGCCAGTTTGGCTCAGTGGATAGAGCGTCAGCCTGCCGACTGAAGGGTCCCAGGTTCGATTCTGGTCAAGGGCATGTACCTTGGTTTCGGGCACATCCCCAGTGGGGGGTGTGCAGGAGGCAGCCGATCGATGTTTCTCTCTCATCGATGTTTCAAACTCTCTATCCCTCTCCCTTCCTGTCTGTAAAAGGTAGTTTCCATTTGGAATGATAAGAATATCCTGAAAACAGTGGTATAGTTACCTACCACTGTGAATGTACTTAATGCCATTGAATTGTACATTTTAAATGGTAAATTTTGTTATGTATATTCTTACAATAAAAAAAACAAAACAAAAAACAACCAGGCCATATTTTCAGCCCCTTGAGAGAATTCCTCTTTAAGGCCAGTTCTCCTGATGGCCTTGGGCCCTAAAGATGTGGATGCCATCTTGTCCTTTGTGTTGACCTCAAACCCAAGCCAACAACACAGGTTGACGAGCTGCTGTCCAAGGGCTGAATGAAGCCCGAGAGCCCCCAGGCCAGGTGGTTTGTGGGGGTAACTGTGGGACGTGCTGACAAGTTGCCAACGAAAGCAGACGCCAATCGGGCAAGCTTCACTGCTACTCCCCCTTCGGCTTTCCCACAGAACCCCAGCCCGCCCCGCGGAAAGTAGCCAGGGGCCGGGCTGACCAGCCTGGTGTTTTTTTAAGTTGGAAAGTGGAGTCCCTGTCCCCCCCCACCACCACCACCACCACCCTCCACCCATCTAGATAGTTCATGTATTTTGTTGAGTTCAGGACAGAGTTTCCATCCATCCAAGAGCAGAACCAACCACCCCCACCCCTCCGCTGTCTTTAGGGCCTTTTCACACAGATTATCCTGTGAAATCTCAAAACACTCCGGTGGGGATGGATGTGTGGGGGTTGTTATGAAGAAAACGGGGGCTCAGAGATGCAGCCATGTGCCCCCAGGCCCCCAGCCCCAAGTGCAAGGGCCGGGGTTTGCACAGCGCTCGTGAGCTTCAGGCTCTGCTTCTCCGATGACTCCGGAAAGATACAGGAGGAAGGGACGCAGCCCGTCCTGGCGTCCAGCAAGAGCAAGGGGGAAGCTGGCAAGTGCGGCGACCAGTCGGCTCACAAGTCCGCCCCAGAGAAGCTGCGGAAGAACCGAGCGCCGCGCTCTCGCCCTCGGGGCCACCCTGACCCAGCAGCGGGTCTTTCCCTTTGGAGGCTCGTACTCAACGGGTCCAGCGGGGCGCCTCGGGGCGGGTCTGCGACTCCTGGGACTGCACCTGGGACTGCACCTGGGGCGGCACCCGGGCTCCAAGGGGAAGGCCGGCGGGGTCCCGGGGAAACGGGAGTTCCGGCGCCTGCAGACGCGAACCAGTCACGCCTAAACCAGCCCGCCTCGGAAACGGTCGCTGGCTCCGGAGACCCAGGAGGGCGACATCCAGCAGGCAAAACGGGGCCCACTGCGCCCCGACCACCGCCCGGACGCCCACCCGCGAGCACCAGCCTCGGGGGGCGGACGCCGACGCCCCGCGCATGCTCCAGCCGCGCGCGCATGCGCGTTCCCGGCGGCGGCCTTTTCCTAGTTCCCAGCCCTCTCGCCCCGGTTCCGAACGCTGGCTGCCACAGCCACGGCCCTCACCCCCCACTCCTCACCTTGCGCCCGGTTTTCTCCCGCAGGGCCTTCAGCCGTTCCTTTCGCCGCAACGCTTCTTCCTCTAGCCGGCCCACACCGGCCGCAGTAGCAGCCATCTTGCCCGCCAACCCCTCCTCTCCGTCAGTTTTACACTGCGCAGGCCCAATGAGTAGATGACTCTCACAGCCAATCCGAGGACGAAAATGAGAGAGCCGGAAGTCCTGAAAGCCAATCAATGCTGAGTTGCTCTAGGGGGGGCCGCCCCCTCTCTCCCCTACTACTCGCTCCGTCGGTAGGGGGCGGGCAAAGCTTGAAGCGTTCAACGTCAATCAGTGAGAAAGCAGCAAGTGGCATCAGACCTGAGCGAAGGAGAATAGAGCGCGTCGATCGCTCAGGTTTTGCCTAAGCGCTAACCACAGCTCACTCCACGCCGGCCCCTTGGAATGCGCTGACCCAACCTTTGTGCACTTGTTCTGACTCTCCAAGGCTCCAAAGCCTTCAAGAAGCCTCCTCTGACTCGCCACTCCGACCCCAGCCTAATAAGAGGTCTACCTCTCCCTTCGTGTCCACTACCAGTGGCTCTTGGGATGTCCATGGGCCCCTAGACCCTTCTGTGTCCACTCTCAGCTCAGACAAAGCCTGTGCAATGCAGGGCTTGCCTGGATGGCGATTTCCCTTCGGGCTCATGGATGGTCCTCTCCCGTCTCTCCAACACCCCTGGAGTAAAAGTACCCGGGGTCAGACTACCTACCCTGGAGAAGAGCAATCCCCAGCCTGGGCCCAGTGTGCCCCAAGGAACCCTAGAGCTTAGTTCTCCGGAGCTAAGGGGAGAGCTGGTTTGGCCTCGACTGCACCAGGTGGCCACCAGGGCACTGCTCCCTAGCAGGCTCTTCCCTGCATTGATCAGCATGCCCTGACCACCGAGACCCCTTTGGCTGAAGTGAAGATCTGACGACATGTTGGGTCCTCAGAACTCCATCTCCTTCCACCCGAGAAGACAAATGCCCCTTTGCCACAGACCCCCGCCTTGCTCCCCCAAACGACCTTCTGGACCTCACGAACCTGGGTCTTTTGGCTCCCCATCTCCTGCATCAGGTGGGGTGCCTGGTATGCAGGTAGCAGATACAGGAAATGTCCGCTCAGTGGTAGGATGGACGGGGCAGGAGAAAAGGCCAGTGTAGAGGGGCTGCCTAAGAAGCCAAGAGAACAGAACAGGATGGGGATGGGGATGGGGATGGGGATGGGAACAGAGTCTGTCTTCCCAAGGTCCAGGGGCTCCAGATTGGTCAAGTCCTCAACTGGTCAAGTCCTACACCCTCTCTGGGCCCCACAAACTTCCCCCCAGCCCCAACAAAGGGCTTGGCCCCTCCTCAACACCAGAGGGCCCCTCAACTCCCAAGCCAGCTGGAAAGGTTGATGGAAAGAAGTCTAGGGGTGAAGGTGGCAGGGGCCCAGCAAGGAGTGAGTCAGGCCTCTTGTTCCTGTCCATGCTGCCCCTGGCTGCCCAGGTAGTCCTAACGTGGCCCCCTCTGGGCTTCAGTTTCTCCCTCTTGCCTCTAACCTCTTAAGGTGAAAGAATTCGAAATATGTGAAGCAAGCACTGCACCTGGAGTGGCCTGTGCTTCCACCAGCACATCTAGGAGGGCTTCCTGGAGGAGAGGACCCGCGGGATTGGCTAAATCTCCCAGGAATGTGCCCCACTGATGAGGGAACTGCTCTTCCAGGGGGTCATTTCAGGCGTGTTCTGCTGCTCTCTGACCCCCATTCTGCTCCACCAACGGTCCATGCAAAAAAGTGGCACTCAGGCCCGAGCCGGCTTGGCTCAGTCTGCGGACTGAAGGGTCCTGGGTTCAACTCCCCATCAGGGCACAGGCCCAGGTTGTGGGCTTGACCTCCAGTAGCGGGCGTGCAGGAGGCAGCCAGTCAATGACTCTCATTATTGATGTTTCCCTCCCTTCCTCTCTGAAATCAATTTTTAAAAATGGTGTGTGTTTGGTGGTTTTTTTTTTAAGTAGTACTAGGTCTTCCTAGAAAACGCTTAAAGCAGCTCCTGCACGTGGTCAGCTCTACAAGTGGTCGCCATGGTTATTGTTACAATTACTTGTTGAAGGACACGGGGCGCTGCGCGCGGCCCGCAGCTCCTTCCCCGCACCCCGCACCCCGCACCCCGCACCCCGCACGCCTCTCCTTTGCACACAGGGTGGCAAGCCCAGCCGGGCGGGCTGCATCCCGGGCGTATCTAGACCCGGGACAACTCGGGGACCCCGGACCCGACATTCTCGGGGCTCTGGGGGAGCGCGGGCTGCGGGGGCGGGGCTGTGGGGCACCCCCCCGGGCCGCCCTGACCTCAGGCTCCTCCTCCCGCCCGCTCTCCGCCCCGTGCACGGTCCCAGGAGGGGCGGGGCGGCGGCGGCGGCAGCCAAGTGCAGGAAGCGGGCGGAGGCCGGCGCGAGGAGGAGCGTGCAGATTTGAGCGGCTCGGCGGCGGGGGCCAGGACGACTTACCCTGGGAGTTCCTCGCCGCTCCGCCCCGGAGTGACCGCCCGCCGCCCCATGGGCCTGGCCGAGGGCAACCGGCGGGCGGCGCGGAGGAGGTGGCGGCGGCAGGTGGCGCGCAGCAGGGCCGGAGCCGGGCCGGGCCATGGCCGCCTCGGAGCGACTCTACGAGCTGTGGCTGCGGTACTACACGCAGGTGAGGCCGCCCGCCCCGCCCCGCGACCGCCGTGTCCCCAGATCCGCGCGCCCCGCACCTGCTACACCGGCGCCCGCGCCCCGAGGCACCCGGGCCGCGTAGATGCGCGCGCGCAGGGGGTGCCCGGGCTCCGCGCACACGCGTGCGCCTTACACCTGGGGGACTGTCCTCGCGGGCGCGCACCTCAAAGATCCTCTGGAGGGGTGGGGACCGCGCACCTCGGTCGAGCCGGAGGAGAAGGGCTCGGACCGCGGCCCGGCACGTCCTCCTTTTACAACTGGGGAAACCGAGGCTGGGGAACGAAACGAAAGGTTGGCGGGGTCGGGAGGAGCGGAGAGGCTTGGTTTGCCTTTGGTCTGGCCCCTCCTGTAGGTGTGGCCCCGTCGCTCTGGGTCTGAGTGAGCTGGGGGTGTGCAGCCTGGGCATCCTCACTGCGGTCCGGTCCGCTCGGACACCATTCCTTCCCCAGGGGACGGGCAGTGCTGGGCTCCTCCCTGGCCCCAGGCGGTCTCGCCCTACACGGGGGGCTGGACGGGGTCCAGGCAGAAGAAAAGATTTGCCTGAGATGCTGAGCTTGGGGGTAGGGGCTGAGCTAGGAGGGAAGTGTGAAAGGGGTGGAGGGACCCCGTTCCTGCGGAGCTCCCCGTCTCGTGTCTTGTCTCCGAAGCCACCTCAAATGGCTTCAGAAGGTGAAGGCGGGGACCCACCCAGGCGTCCGACAGAGCTGAGAACCCGGTGTCCCCCAAACTCTGTCTCGTTTACCCAGGCCCCCACTTTCCTTCTGCATCCGCAGCAGGGAGGACTCCCAGGTTAATGCTCCCTCCCCTCGCCCAGCACCAGCCTCCCTCCCTGCACCTGCTTGGCACCTTGCTGCTGGCTCAGGTGTGCCCTGGGCACAATGGACTATTGTGCGCCCCTGATCTGGTCACTGGGGGAAGTTCCTGCTCTGATCAGCTGGCCCTCTGTGAAGAGGCTGCCCAGCCATCTCCCGGGACTACAGGCCGGCGTGGGGGCCCCAGGGACCAGGAATCCAGGCCACGGGGGCCATAGCTTCTGGAGTCCACTCTGGTGGCGAGAGGGCGAGGGCCCTGGCAGGAGGCAGCGTGTGGATGGGATCGAGTCCTTCTGTGGTGTGACCAGGCCAGGCTCTGTACACCTCTGAGCTGCCCTGTCTGGAAACGTGGCCCGGCCCTGGCCTCAGGAGCGGCCTGTACCCCAGAGGGGTGGCCAGCAGGACTGGTCCAGGCCAGAGGAGCCTGCTGCTTCCCTGGCTGCACTGGGCTCCCTCACCCCAGCCCGTCTCCACCCCCCAGGGTTGGTCTCTGTGCAGGACACCTGCCCCTGGCCCTCATGCCTCTCCTGCCCGTGGCCGTGGCAGGTTCTTGGTCCTCAGCGTCTCCTGTGACCAGGTGATGGACTGAGGGATGCTAACGGAGGGTCCTCAGGCTGGGTGGCCCCTGCTAAGGAGGATGCCTCCACACCCCCCTCTAGATGAACTCAGCAAATGGTCAGCCCCCCTGCCCCCTCAGGAGGTGTATCTGCGCCCCCCGCCCCAGCTCCTCACCTCGCAGGGCAGGTCTGGGGCACACGTTGGCTGGTTGTGGCCTTGGAAGCCTGGACAGGCCGGGGGCAGCCTGGGCCTGGCAAACAAATCCAGGATGTGAGTGTGAACTGGGAGCCAGGCGGGGCCAGGCTGCCCCAGAGGAAGCCCGCACCGCCTTCCTGCCCACTTGGTGCTGCTCCTGCTCCCGGAACCCTGTCCCCACCCAGCTGGCTCCGGGGAGGTGGCTGTGTGGCCTGGAGCCCGGCTAGGGACCCAGCGTGTGTGCTGGGGGCGGGGGGGGGGGGGTAAGATGAGGTAAAGGTTGAACTGATAAAGGGTATGAATAGACCCCAGACTTGGCCGGCCACCCAGCCAGGAGGCTCCCCCGGCACCTGCCCCTCCCTTTGGCAGTGAGAGCTGACATCAGCTGGCAAACCTGTTTCCCCAGTTGTGGGTCTTGGCCCGCCCTGGGGAGCAACCCCTTTCTGCCCTTCCTCTCCCCTCACAGTTCCCAGGTCCAGACCCACCCATGCCCTCCCGCTGGGGCCCTGCTCAGCGCGGGGCTACCTGTGGGGGAGGGAAGGGGCTGTGGGTGCTCCTGCAGGAAGAAGCCGCATCATCAGTCTGAGGGCCCTCGGGGCCCTGGTGGGGACACCAAGGCAGGGTCATACCAAGGTCAGCAAACAAGTTCGGGGCAGAGTTCCGGCCGGCCTCCATCCTGTGTGTGTCACCTGTCCTCTGGGCAGGGGCTGCACAGCTGTGTTCTCCGTGGACCTTCCTCCCCTTCCCCCAAACCAAGCCGGACCTCAGCCCAGGGGTCCCCGTGTTAACCCTCATTGTTCTTGCTACTCCGGGCTCCACAGCGCCTCACATTTAGTAGGTGCTCCTTGGGTCCAGCTGAGTGGCTGGACAGAGAGCCATAGCAGTGACCAATCAGGGAAGCTGGGCCAGAGGAGGCTGAGTTTGGGCCCTAAGGGCTTCAGGACCAAACAGCAGGAGCAAGAACAGGACAGTGGAGTGAGGGGGGCCTGGGGGCAGGTGCGGGGGCTCCCCTGGGGATCGCATGGGGAAGGGGCGAGAGGGGAAGGGGACAGCACCCAACAGGCTAGCAGTAGGGCAGCATGGAAAGTTTATGCAAAATAACATGCAAATGAGTAGCCCCTTTTCTGCTGGAGCAGGGATGTCCCTCAAAAGCCCCCCCAGTGAAAATGAACATTGTGGGGGGGGGCACCCCAGCTGAGGGGCACTCAAGGTCACAAAGGTCAGGATCGGACATACATTGAGGTTACAGGTGGGGAGCCCAGGCTGAACTCTCCAGTTTTGCCTTTGAGGACTCAGTTCCAGGGAGGTCAGGTCAGAGGTGGAGCGGGCCTGGCTCTGCCCACCCCTCCCTGACCGGTGACCTCATGGAAACCTGGGAAGACCCTCTGCCGGCTCTGGGGCCTCAGCTGGGTCCTGTGCTCTCCTGTGCCTCAGTTTACCCTCCTCCATGGCCAAGGCAACCCAAGGGGGCGGGGCTGAGGTGTTGGGGAGAGTAGCAGAGCCCAGGGGCTGGTAATCCCTGGGGTTGTTATGGCAACTGGGGAGCTGATGTGGAATTGTGGGGTCCCCATGGAAACAGGGTCTGTTACTCTGGGGACCCTGGAAGGAAATTCCTGGTTTCCATAGTGATAGGACAAGGGTAAGATTAAGCCCCGGGTGGGGTGTTGTGGAGACCAGCAGGTCCACCCCTTTCAAGATCCCCTCCCCCTGGGCCCTGGGACCACTCCGCGCCAGGTCCTTGCCCCTGGCAAAGCGCCCGTCTTCCTGCTTCATTCCTTGGTCCTGCAAGTCTGACCTCCAGTCCTGGTGTCGTCAGAGCCACTTCCAGCCTGGCCTTGCCGTCCCCCTCCTCATGCTGAGGGGGGAGGCCCCCGTCCCCACAGAGGTCACCCTGATCAGGCCTGTCCCATATCTGCCTGCCTCTCCCAGGAGCTGGTGCTCACTGCCACTCAGGCGGCTCTGACGGGAGGAGTCCCCGTCATGGAGCTCCCATCTTCTCTCCCTCCCCGGTGCCCAGCTCTCTCCTGGGCCCACCAAGGTGCTCCGTTCCCCTGCCTGGGCCAGCCAGCCGGGGAGGGGCCCAGGAGACCGGGGAGGGGCCCAGGAGACTGTGGCTCTGCCAGTGAGCCGAGGTCTGACGCTCGTCTGTCACTCATGGAAGGGGGTGGGGAGAAGACAAGTGTTGCCCTAGAAAGCTCACACCCCGGTCTGGCCCGAGTGGCTCAGTGGTTGAGCATCCACCTAGGAACCAGGAGGTCACACTTCCATTCCCGGTCAGGGCACAGGCCCAGGTTGTGGGCTCCATCCCCAGTGTGGGCCGTGCAGCCGATCCATGATTCTCTCTCATCATTGATGCTCCTCTCTCTCGCCCTCTCCCTTCCTCTCTGAATCAGTATCTATATGAAAAAGCTCACAGCCCCAGATTTGGGGTGAGCTCCCACTGACCTGGCACGTGCCGCTGGGTGCAGTGGGAGAGCCTTGACTAGTGAAGCGAAGGGATGCTTTCAAAGAGGCAGCTGAAGTGCAAAGAGACTAGTTCATGTGACGTAACAAGCTACCAAGTGGGAGAACCAGGTGTGGACTCCAGAACCCGTGCCCTCAACCCGTTCAGTTTGGCAGCCCCGGCCTCTGCAGCACCAGAGGGGGTGGGGCTGGGGCAGGTCCCGGCTCCGGCGGGAGCACTGAGGCAGAGGAAACATGGACAGCAAAGCGTGTGGGGTCACTGAGGCAGGAGGCAGGGGTCGTGTGGTCAGCTGGGGCTGGCTGGCTAGCAAGCAGGAGTGCTCCTGGCCGGGAACTAAGGTCTGGCTTTCAGCATCCTCAAGGTGCAGCCAGACCGATGAGGTGTTCCCTCTGGGGCCCCCCAGACACCCCCCTGCTGTGGGAAGAGTTCAAAAGAAATGGTCTGAGCGTCCTGGCTGGTCTGGGGCCTCAGGGTTGAGCATTTTGGCGTCCTTGCTGCAGAGCGGGGAGAGGTCGCCAGAGGTACCTGACAAGGAGTGGCAGGGGTGCGGGCCTGCACCTCGGTGGCCCTAGCCCCTCTCTGAGTTGCCTCAGTTTACAAGAGGGTAAACTGAGGCACCGGAAACTGAGGCTCGGACCGGTGACGAAATGCACACTGAAGGTGCCCAGCCACGGGGCTGAGGCCTCCACCTAGGTTTCTTAGGGGCCTGGCTCAGGCTGCTGGGGTCCGGCCCCCTTCCCTGGGGTTTATTCCGTCCTGGCCTCTGTGGTCTGAGGCGCACACGTGACAAAAATCAGCCATCCGTCCAAAGGCAGCGCTAGACGTCCTCGCGCTGAGGTCCGTGGCCCCGGGGAGCGGCCGCGGCTGCTGGGTGCGGCCTGCGATGTGTCCTTGCCCCTCCATCCTTCTCCATTAGTCCCTGGCCACCCCCTCTGCCCCTGGGAAGGAAAGGTGTCTTCAGTGCTCAGCTGGCTGGGATGGGAGCTCCAGATGGGGCCAGCGCGGAGGGAGAGAAGGCAGGCTGAGGGCAGGACCCTCTCGGCTTAGAGCAGCGGTCGCCAACCCGTGGTCCGTGAGGTCCGAAAGGTTGGCGGCCGCGGGCTTAGGGCTCAGGGCAGATTAGAGCTGGGCTAGCACTTACTCAGCTGTGTCCCCTGAGCAGAGACCACAGGGCCCGGTGCGGAGGCCGGGACACGGGAGGGGGTGGGGAAAACGGGTGGATGAGTCCTCCTCACAGTCCCTGGGGCCCTGGACCCAGGTCAGGGAGCTCCCGTGCCTTGATGAAGGGCACTAGAGCAGTAGGATCAGAACCTGGGCCCAATAGGCCTGCCCTGACTCCAGCCCCCACCTCATGCCCTCGACCCAGGCATAGCGCCTCAGGCTCTGACCCAGAGACGTGTGCCCCGCCCCTTGGTGTTCCAGGCCTCACCGCTGGTGCTGGGCCCTGGGTGCCCGGTCCCCCCGCCCCACCCCCACCCCACATCCCTGCGGTCTGCCGGGAGGAAGCGGCCCTCCTCCCCCACCGTGACTCTGCGCTTCCTGCCCGGCTGGGGCGGGAGGGGACGTTTCCCGTTCACACCCAAGGTTCCCTGGCGGCACCTAGACTTGGGCTCAGCCGCTGCCCCTTGACCCATGGAACCGGCTCTGGGGCCTGGGGTCCAGGTAACCAGCAGGGTGGGCGGAGGTTCCCAGGGCCAGGAAGGACGTCCTGTCTGTATGGGACGTGCGTGTGCATGGGTCTGCCTGGCTGATAGTGCACATGCACCCTGGGATCTGCGGTCAAGGAAGGCTTCCTGGAGGTGGTGGCTGCTGAGCTGGAAGAAGGTGGCAGGCGAGGGCTCAGCCCACGGCTTTGGGTCAGGCCTGGCTGGTGGGTGTGGGCCACAGCCAAACCCCAGGCATGCACACACTTAAGCCCCTCCCCTGCCTCTGCCAGGCCTGCCTGGGTCCCCAAAGGCTAGGGAGGTGGGAACAAGAGACTGGGAAGCAGAGGGGTGGCCTGGGAGAGTTGTCAGTACGGACAGCCATCTTCTGATGCTGACCTTCCGACTTCCTGCCTCCCTCACGCCCGACCTGTCTCTGTCCCTCCCTTTCTCCGCCCCCTCTGCTCTACCTCTGCTCCCTCTACTCTGTGCCCACTTCCGTTCACTCTCCCCTTCTTCTCTATCCCCTGTGCCCCCACGGCCACTGCACCCCTTCTGATCCCCCCCATCCCCCAACCTGCAGAAGGACCTGGGCTCCCTGCAGCAGTGGCTGAAGGCCTATGTGGATGCCTTCGAGAGGAGCATCTCGCTGTCCTCACTGGAGCCACGCAGGTGAGGCCGGCTCTCACGGAGGGGGGAGGCCTTGGGGTCCGCAGCACCCCAGTGACCCCTCTCCCCGCAGGCCCGAGGAGGCCGGTGCCGAGGTGCCGCCGCCGCCGCCGCCGGACGCGCTGCCTGTGCTGGCCGAGCAGCTGGACCAGGGGGACCTGGAGCAAACCCTGCTGCTGCTCAAGCTCTTCGTCCTCCTCTGCAGGTGGGTCCGCGGTCCTGCCCGCGGTGGGGGGCGCGACGGGGCCGGGCACGGGGACAGCTGTGGCCTCTGCATCGTTCCCTCCCCAGGAACCTGGAGAACGTGGAGGCCGGCTGGGGGCAGGTGCTGGTGCCCCGCGTGCTGGCTCTACTGACCCGGTTGGTGGCCAAGGTGAGTGGCTCCCCCTGGGGGGCGGGACAGGTGATAGCACCACCCAGCTGACCCCTTCCACCTGCTCCGCACACCGCAGCTGAAAGGGCGCTCGCCGCTGCCACTGCCGGAGGGCCCTGGCCCGGAGCTGGAGGAGGTGGTGGCCCTGCAGGCCCTCCTCCTCTGTGAGGGCCTCTTTGACCCCTACCAGACCTGGCGGCGCCAGCACCGCGGGTGAGAGCCGGCCACCCCCCCACCAGGACCCGAGGGGCTGGGAGAGGGTGCGGGTGGCATGGGGGCTGTGGCCAAGGTGTGGAGGTGGGAGGGGCTGTGCCCTGGCTGGCGCGGGGGGTGGGGAGGGGAGGGGGGGCATGACCCAGGAGGGGTGAAGTGCCCAGCCTCACCGGCCCCCTGCCCCCCACCGCCACCCCAGGGAAGTCATCAGTGCCAAGGAGAAGAGCAAGTACAAGTTCCCTCCTGCTGCTTTGCCTGCTGAATTTGGAGCCTTCTTCGCAGGTCAGGCCCCGCCCCTGCCCTGCTGGGCCCCGCCCCCAAGCCTGTCCTCCTGGGGAACGTGGAGGCTGGACAGGACCAGCTTGGCCTTGGCTGCAGTGGGAGGGAGAGCCCTGCCCGTTGAGGGCTTCGGGGCAGAGAGCAGAGAAAGGGCAGGCCTTGGAGAGATGAGGAATTTCTGGGCTGCAGAGAAGGCCTGGCATCAGGCGGGGGCGCCGATTTCCCTTCCCCCTTCCCTCCCATCCCCTGGGTCCCCCCAACCGCCTGGACCCCCATAAAACCATCCCTAGTCCAGTCCCTTTGTCCCTGGAGCCTCCACCTGGTGGGCACCCTCCTCAGGACAACGTCTATACTAGCTGTTACCTCCACTCCCTCCTCCCTCCCTCCTGGAGGAGCTCTCCCTGGGGACCCCCTTCTCCTGGGTCCCCTCTTCTGTCATCAGAGAGAGACTGGCCAGTGCTGTAGGTGGGCCCGGGCAGGGTGCTGTGGGGTGGGGCAGTGAGCGTGGGAGGGTGTCTTCTGTTGGGATAGAAAGTATGTCCTTGCCCTAGCCAGTGTGGCTCAGTGGATAGAGCCCCGGCCTGCGGACCGAGGGTCCCGGGTTCGATTCCGGTCAAGGGCACGGACCTCGTTTGCAGGCTCCTCCCCAGCCTGGGCCCTGGTCGTGGCTTGTGCAGGAGGCAACCCATCGATGTGTCTCTCTCACGTCGATGTTTCTCTTTGTCTTTCCCTCTCTCTCCCACTCTCTCTAAAATCAATGGGAAAATGTCCCCGCGTGAGGACTGAAAGGGAAGAAGGCATGTCCTTGTCTCTGATGTCCCTGGAGCTGCTGGCCTGGGCCCGGGGCAGGGACGCAGCTCCAGGAGGGAAGGCGCCCGGGAGCTCCCTGCCTCCCGTCCTGCCCGAGTTCTCTCCGCAGAACAGAACTAAGTCCTCGCCGCTGTAAACGCCCCAGACGTGGCCTGACACCCCCAGGACCAAGCCCTGTCCCCCCCGGCCGCCCTCCCCAGCCCCACGGCTCCCTGCACCCCAGACAGGTCCCGTCCTCTCGTTCCTAGAGGCCACCCGGCAACCACCTGCAGGTCTTGGGCCAGTTTCCTCTCCCTGCAGGGCCAGCTGCGCTCCAGGCCCACCTCTAAAGCCCTGTCCCCGCTCGGCCTCCCACCCCATCCCGCCTGAGTCAGGCCGCCTGCTCTGGCTCCTCCACCCCCCACCCCACGTGTGACCAGGCCGGGCCTTTCTGCTCTCTGGGTTTCAGTCTGTGGCCTGGCATCCTGTCCATCCAACGCTGTGAAAGCCCCTAGAAGTCCCAGCAGGGGCGGGGTTGGGGGCGGGGGCGGGGGTGGGGGTGGAGTGAGGGCATCTAGACGCTACACACAGGCAGCCCCCTCCCCCAGCAGGTCACTGGGGGAAGCACCACTGTCAGGGCAGAGGGACAGGAGATTTGCATCTGAGGGACTAAAACCTGGGTTTCCAGGGGAAGCGGGAGGGGTGCTCACACCGGGGCTTAGGGTCTAGGGGGCTGGCACGGCTCTCAGGGTCCTGTTCCTTTTCGAGCTCCCCAAAAAGGGCCGTGTCCCCCTCAGGCCCCTTGGTGGAGAACCATGGCTTTTAAGAGCCCTCAGCTCAGAACCAGGTGTCCTCCCTCAGCCCCCACCCCCACCCCCGGGCTCCCACCTGTTTGTAGACCCCGAAGATGCCCAGCCCTGCCAGCTCGCTGAACCTGTCCTGCTCCCCCCACCTCGCCCCCCCTCCAGAGAGCCTGCAGGAGGCGGAGCGCTTGCCCCCCACGCTGCTGCTGCGGCTCATCCACCTCTTCGGGGCCGTCCTGGCAGGAGGGAAGGTAGGCTGGGCGGACCCTGCGGCCAGAGGGTGGCTGTCTCGGGGTCGCGGCTGGAGGAGCCCTTGCCCATTGCCCGTCTCCGTCCCGACCTGCAGGAGAACGGGCAGCTGGCCTTGAGCGCCGGCTCCGTGCAGGGCCTGCTGGGAGTGGTGCAGGGCTGGGGCCGCGGGCCGGCCCAGGACTCCCGCCTCCTGGCGCTGGCGCTGGAGGCCCTGGTGGGCGCCGTCCACGTCCTGCACGCCAGCCGCACGCCCCACCGAGGTCCAGAGCTCCACGCCCTGCTCGAGGGCTACTTCCGCGTCCTGAACGCCGACGGGCCGGCCGGGCCCAGCCCAGGCCCCGAAGAGGCCCTCATCCGCCGGCGAGTCAGCATGCTGGGTGGGCCTGGGCCCGGGCGCGGGAGGAGGCCTGGGCGGGCTGGACCGGGCAGGACGGGGAGGAAGGGCTCAGGCCTCGGGGGGCAGGGCTGACCCGAGGCCCCTCCACAGACGCCATCCCCAGGATGCTGGCCTGCGAGGACCGGCCAGTGCTGCAGGCCACCTTCCTCAGCAACAACTGCTTCGAGCACCTCATCCGCCTCATCCAGAACAGCAAGGTGGGCGGCCGGGCAGGGGTGCAGGGCCTGGAAGCCGAGGGGGAACCGCGTGTGGGTGTCCAGATGCTGCCGAGCACACCCGGGCCCCGCTGGCTGGAGGGATGAGCTGGTGTGATGCCTGCAGCGCAGTGGGGGGCCTGCAGCCGAGGATGGCTCTGCACCCACAGGAGGGGGTGCTGTGGAAGGACAGGAGCTGCCCTGGCCCCCGTGTTCCCTTTTCCCAGCCCCAGGTCCGGGGCAGGAGGACGGCTCAGCGGTTTGGATGCAGGGCCTGCTCCTGTCCATTTAGCCGCCCGACTGTCCCTCTGAGCAGGGCATGGGGCGCAGCTTCCCTCCCCTTCTCTAGGGCCTGGGGGGCGCTCAGCCTGAGCTCAGGGCGCATCCTTCCCTCTAGGGCAAGCCCCGGCCGCTGCCACAGGCCCTGCTCTAACCCTGCGCCTCCCTCATCTCCCTTCTCTCTCCTCTGCCTCCTCCACCCTGTGCCCTCCCCCTTCCCCACAGCTATACCTGCAGGCCCGGGCGCCCCCTGAGGGGGACAGTGACCTGGCTACCCGGTTACTGACCGAGCCCGATGTCCAGAAGGTACCGCCCTGGGGCTGACCCGCTCAGGCACGCGCCTCCCTGGGCACCCACCCCCGGCTCCTCAGCCCTTCCCGCGCTCTGCGGGGGGTGAGCCGACAGGAGGAGGCCTGGCCTGGCCGGGCAGCGGGGCTGGGTGTCCCAGGCTATCTCACCTACTTGCCACGTCCCTGACTAAGGGGACAGGGCAGGGGTGACCTGTGTCCTGCCTAGTATTGCTTCTGGGCGCTGGGGTTTGGCTGTGCCAAGCCGGAGGGAACCTTCGAAACCCAGCCACCTACACCCGTTCCCCAGAGGGAACAGCCCGATAGATATGCAGGGATTGGCTGGTCGTTCCAGGAAAGGGCGGTCCCCCGCGTGGGGCCACTTCCCTCCTGCCACCCCCTCCTGAGGTGCCCCCCCCTCACCTGGCACGGGGCGGGAAGCTCAGGGTATCAGGGGCTCCACGTGGGGCGCCCTCTGGTGGCTCAGTGCCTGGGCTCCAGCCTCCAGGGCCCCTCCCGAGGCAGCCCGGGGTGTCTGTGGCCTCGGCTGCACCCTGAGAGCCTGCACGTCCGTTCATCGGCGAGGCAGGCGAGGCCCTGGTGGCTATAGATGAGGAACAGCCCGCAGAGGGTCCGAAGGTACCCGGGTCACGAGGAGGGTCAGGCAGAGCTGGTAGCACCTGCTGACCACGTCCCCAAGCCCCCCTGCCCCTCAGGTTAGGGCAGGGCGAGGAGCAGCGAGCCTCAGTGTCCCCACGTGGACCTGGCGGGCAGGGGCAGGGCAGACTCCAAGGTCTCGAAGGTTCTTCTGGTTCTAACATTCTGTGATGATTGCCCTCCATTCCCCGGCCCCCTGTCAATCATCCTGGGTGGTGGGCACCTGCTGGCCTGCCTGCACGTGTGTCTGGCGTGGGGGGGGGGGGGCTGCGGCCCATAAGCCCCCAGACGGAGGGGGTGGCGACAGGGCCTGCCCAGCCTGGGCGCCTTCCCTGGCCTCTTGGTCAGAGTGGCTCTCGCCAAGCGGCTCAGAGAGGGCCCTGGGGTCCGGGGGAGGGGCACCGCCGTCCGGGCGAGGAGCAGAGGCCTGGGCCGTACGGGGTTGCCGTGCCCCCAGAGCCCCCAGCCGCTCAGCCACCGGCCCTGGGGCACCTGCTCCTGGCCCTGCACCCCTCGTACTGCAGGGCGCTGCCAGCTGCGGTGCCCGGCTCCTGACTGCCCCTCCCCCCCAGGTGCTGGACCAGGACACGGACGCCATTGCCGTCCACGTGGTCAAGGTGCTGACCTGTGTCATGAGTGGCTCCCCCTCGGCCAAGGTGAGGTCGCTGCTGCCACCTGCAGCAGGGTTGTGGGCGGGAGGGAAACTCACCCCCGGGCCCCAGAGCTGGCAGGGGGTGGGGGTGGGGGGGGGATCCAGAGAGGTGCCGCTCAGGCCCCTGGGCGGGAGGTCACCAGTCAGCCCTGGAGCTGGTGTCCTGGGTCGGGGCAGCTTGGGGGTGGACCATGGGCTGACCCCACCTGCAGCCTGCTGTGTGGACCCCCCCCCAGGAGGTGTTCAAGGAGCGCATTGGCTACCCTCACCTGCACGAGGTTCTGCAGAGCCACGGCCCCCCCACCCACCGGCTGCTGCAGGAGCTGCTCAACATGGTGAGGGTGCAGCGGCCGGGGCGGGGCCTCCGGGGAGGGCCGCTCTCCACCTGGGGGGCTGTGACCATGGCCAGCACATTCTGTGGCTGTGGCTCACCATGTCACTGGGGTGAGGCTGCAGGGGCCCGAAGCTGCTGCATGTTAGCAAGTCCCAGGATTCTCCTGGGGTTCAGGCCGACCCAGAGCCGTGGTTCCGAGCGGGGTTAACGGGTTGGAGGACTGTCCTTGGGACTGAGGGTCGTCCGTGCGCCTCGGACGTCCCTGAGCCTCGGACACAACCTGGGGGCCGAGGGGGAGCGCCTGTTGCTTTCCCAGGTTCGGGGCAAGTGCACGGAGAGAGGAAGGTGGCAGGTTAGCTGCTCCGTGCCAGGTGCCCAGGAGCTAGGCCCTCTCTCCCCCCACAGGCCGTGGAGGGCGACCACAGCACGTGCCCGCCGCCGCCCGTCCGCAACGAGCAGCCGGTGCTGGTGCTGACGCGCTGGCTGCCGGCGCTGCCCACGGCCGAGCTGCGGCTCTTCCTGGCCCAGCGCCTGTGGAGGCTCTGCGACAGCTGCCCCGCCAGCCGCGCCACCTGCGTGCAGGCCGGGCTGGTGAGCTGCCTGCTGGAGACGCTCGGCACGGGGGTGGCCCTGGGGACCCGCTGCCGGGAGCAGCTGCTGGCGCTGCTGCAAGCCCTGGGCCGCGTGTCCCTGCGGCCCCTGGAGCTGCGTCGCCTGCTTCGCCCGCCGCCGGGGCTGGACTCAGGGCCGGGAGGGGCCGAGGCCGCGAGAGCCCGCCACGCGGGCGCCGTCATCCGCGCGCTGTCGGGCATGGCCCGGCACCGGGGCCCGGCGCGAGCCCTGCACTACTTTGACCTCACGCCCGGCATGGCGGGCGTCATGGTGCCCCCGGTGCAGCGCTGGCCGGGGACGGGCTTCACCTTCCACGCCTGGCTCTGCCTGCACCCGCCGGCCGCCGCCCCGGCCCCGGCCCCCGCCCGGCGTCTCCAGCGAAAGCAGCTGTACAGGTGGGTGCGTGCCCGGGACCGGGGCGGAGTGCCAGGGTGCACGGAGGACCAGCAGGCCTAACTGGCTCGGCCTGTCCCCAGCTTCTTCACCAGCAGTGGCTCAGGGTTCGAGGCCTTCTTCACGGCGGCCGGGACCCTGGTGGTGGCCGTGTGCACCCGGAAGGAGTACCTGACCGTGAGCCTGCCCGAGGTGTCCTTTGCCGACTCTGCCTGGGTGAGCCTCCCTCCTCGTGTGGCCGGGCGGGGGGCCCCCAGCCCAGGGGGTCCCTACCCCCCGCCGACCGCCCGATGCCGTGCTTCCGTCCAGCACTGTGTGGCCGTCGTCCACATGCCTGGCGGGCTCTTCAGCCAGAACCTGGTGCACATCTACAAGGACGGCCACCTGGTCAAGACAGCGCCCCTCCGCTGCCCCTGCCTCACCGAGGTGCACCGGGCAGGGTTGGGGGAGGCTTTGGGTGTCTGGGGGACCTGGACAGGGTGGGGTCTGGAGCCTCGGGGTCTGTGCAGCGTTGGATGCCGGTGGACCCCAGGCTTGGCTGTGAGCTGACTCCCCCCTTCACCCCCCTCCCCTTGGCCCTGCAGCCCTTCTCTTCCTGCTGCATCGGCTCCGCTGGCCACCGCACGACAACCACCACCACGGGGCTGCCGGCGCCCGCGGGCCCCACCGCCCTGGCCCCCACTCACCCCTCCCTCACCCGCTCGCAGTCGGTCCCGGCGACCGCAGGGCTGGGCTGGGGGTCTGGGCTGGGGGCCCCTCCGCCGGAGGGCAGCATCAGCTCCACCCTCGCAGGCACCCAGGACACGCGCTGGGGCAGCCCCACCTCCCTGGAGGGCGAGCTGGGGGCCGTGGCCATCTTCCACGAAGCCCTGCCCACGGCAACCCTGCAGGCCCTGTGCAGCCTGGGTACGCAGCCCCCCGCCTCCCGGCCCCCGCCCCCGCCCCCCCAGGGTCCCCAAATCCGGTGGTTGGAGTCTTAAAGTGCCCAGGCTGGAAAGTGGGGGTCTCAGGGGAGAAGGCGTCCCTGGAAGTCCTCTGGTCGGGGCTCTGGATGGGGCTTGGCCGGAGGGGCAGCCGGGTCTGAAGGCCCCGCTGACCCACAGGGCCCAACGAGACAGCACCCTTCAAGCCCGAGGGCGACCTGCATGAACTCGGAGCCAAGCTGCTCCTCCATTACTCACCTCAGGTACTGGGGGGAGGGGCGTGGGCTCACCCTGTTACCTCCCCCGGCACCCCACCGTCTGCGCCCTCCACCTGACGCTGGCTGCCCGCTCCTCCTGCCCGCAGGCCTGTAAGAACAACATCTGCCTGGACCTGTCCCCTGGGCACGGGCTGGACGGCCGCCTGACGGGCCACAGGGTGGAGACCTGGGACGTGAAGGTGCGTGTACACATGGGCGGTGTGTGTACACATGTGGGCGGTGCGTGTACACATGTGGGCGGTGCGTGCGGAAAGCGTGAGCGTGGGCTGGGAGAGGCACGGTGCCCTGGGAGGCCTTTAGGAGACCCGGGTTCAAGAGCAAAACTTCCCTGGCCCAAGCGCCCAGACCAGGCATGATGGGGTGGCCTGGCCAGGGAAGGGCTGGGAGCTGCCTCTCACAGCCGCCCCGCCCCCCAGGACGTGGTGACCTGTGTGGGGGGCATGGGTGCCCTGCTGCCCCTCCTGGAGCGAGTGGCTGCCCAGCCCCAAGAGGCCGAGGCGGGTCCGGCCGAGACGCATGACCTGGTGGGGCCCGAGCTGACCTCTAGCCACAACACCCAGGGCCTGACCCTTCCTCTAGGCATGTCCCCAGGTAAGTGTCCCGGGTGCCCGGGCCGAGGGAGGGAATGTTGGCACCGTGGGGGCTGGCGGGCCTGAGTCTCTGTGGCCACGGCAGGCCCTTGACACACATCTGTCCCCTTCCTGGTGGCCACAGAGGAGCGGATGGAGAGGAACGCAGTGGCGGCCTTCCTGCTGATGCTGCGGAACTTCCTGCAGGGCCACCCTGTGAACCAGGAGAGCCTGGTGCAGTGCCAGGGCCCTGCCATCCTGGGGGCGCTCCTGCGCAAGGTGGGCCTGGGGGCCGGCGAGGGGCTGCCCTGTCTGGGTGGGGGACCAGGCAGAGCCTCCTGGGAGAGGTGGCATTTGAGAGGGGCCTTGAAAGGCTGGGCAGGCCCGGCCCGCAAGCTCAGTGATTGAGCGTCAACCTAGGAACCGGGTTAGATTCCCCGGTCAGGGCACAGGCCCGGGTTGCAGGCTCCATCCCCAGTGTGGGGCGTGCAGGAGGCAGCCGATCCATGATTCTCTCATCATTGATGTTTCTCTCCCTCTCCCTTCCTCTCTGAAATCAATAAAAATATATTAAAAAAAAAAAAAAAGGCTGGGCAGGGTGTGGCTGAGGGTCGGGGGAAGCACCAGCTCAGGCTGGGACGGGGGACTGCTCAGCGGGCTGGGGGCTGGCACTTCAGAGCCTGGAGGGGGCCCTGAGGGGTCCGAGCAGGCAGGGCGCTGGCGTCTGTCCGCCTGTGCAGGGCAGAGTGGCAGCCGGGAGGCTGGCCGGGCGGTGGGCAGGGCCGGGCACCTCACTCCACCTCCTCCGCTCCAGGTGCCCGGCTGGGCCATGGACATGAACGTGCTCAAGTCTGCCCAGCTGCTGATGGAGCAGGTGGCCGCTGAGGGCAGTGGGCCCCTCCTGTACCCGCTCTACCACCACTTGCTCTTCAACTTCCACCTCTGGACCCTCAGCGACTTCGCCGTGTGCCTCGGTAGGTATGAGCCTTGGGTGGAGGGACGCCACCAGGCCGGGCGACAGTGGGGAGTCTGAGAAGCTCCGCCCCTGCTCTGAAGGGACGTGTTTGCCCTGGGGTGCCTGAGGGGAACACGCCCCTCGCTGGGGGTGTCGGGTAGGAGGATGGGAAAGGGCCCGCTCAGCCTGGTGGCCTGAGCCCCCTGCGATGCCCGCCAGGCCACATCCAGTACATGGCCAGCGTAATCCGCAAGCACAGACAGAAGCTGCAGAAGAAGTACGGGGTCCAGTTCATCCTCGACGCCCTGCACACCCACTACAGGTGAGGCTGGGGAGGGGCAGGTCGACAGGGGCTGCCGCAGCGGCCTCTGGCCTTGGGGGCCGGGCGGTCCAGTCCCCCCAGCTCACTGCCACCCTCCCTGTTCTCTCTCCTCTGTGCCCCTTGCGTTCCCCCGGCCCTGGGTGTGGGGACCGGCCTGTGCAGCTCACAGCGGGAGTGCCCCCTGGCGGCCGACGAGCTGCGCATGGTGCAGACGGCACTGCTGGAGCTCCTGGCGCCCAGCTCCCTGGCCGAAGACCTGCAGGTGGTGCTGAGCTTCCTGGCGGCTGCGGGTGATGCCGGCCAGGTAGGCTGGAGGCCGGTGACAGGGCGGCTTGGGAGAGGCCGGGGTGTGGACCCCGTGGGGAGGCCCAGCCCAGTGTGAGCCTCTGTGTCCCCCAGGTGCTGGGCGCCCTGAACGTGCTGCTGGCACTGCTGCAGGGCCCAGCTGCCCCGTTCGTGGCTGGCTTCCTGCTGGAGCCGGGAAACCTGGAGGTGCTGCTGGCACTGCTGGTGCGACCGTGGTCACTGCCCCAGCTGCCCAGGCGCATCTGCAAGGTACGCCCAGCCCACCCGACCCTGGTGTCCCTCCCGCTGTGGCCGCTGAGGCCCAGGGCGCTGCGTGTGGCTTCGCCTCCGCGGTGACTTCCTCCCGGTGGTGCCGTCCGCCCAGGTCCTGCGCAGACTGCAGCAGATGGAGCACCTGCTTGAGCCCAGCCGCCAGCGGCTTCGGCTCCGAGAGTGTGGCCTCCAGGGGCTCGTCGCCTGCCTGCCGGAAGGGGCGGTCTCCCTCCAGCTCTGCCGGGGCCTCTACAAGCTGTTCCTGGGCACAGGTACCACCTGCTGGGCTCAAAGGGCAGGCCAGGTGGAGGGGTGACAGGGCTCCAGGAACAGGGCAGGTGGGAAGAGGGCAGGTGCTGGTGCAGGGGCCGAGGCTGAGCCAGCGGGGGAGGATTAGGGTGAGGGTCAGGCTCCAGCTCTCAGGCCCCTCTGGCCCTCTTCCCAGACTGCCTGAGCCTCTCAGACCTGATGGCCGTGGTGCAGCTGTCCCTCCAGGCTGACCTCGGCGTCCGCCTGGACATCTGTCGCAAGGTGAGTGCGGGCGGCAAAGCTTGGGGGGGCCGCCCCGAGAGCTCACTTTGTCTGCGGCAGTGAGGGGTCCTGGGGTCTCCCCAGAACGCTCCAGGCGGGCCGGGCCGGGGGTGATCTCTCGGGCGAGCCCCTCACGCTCGTGCCTGGGCCCGCAGCTCTTCCACCTCTTCTACGGGCAGCCCGACGTCGTGCGGCTGCTGGCCCGGCAGGCTGGCTGGCAGGACGTCCTGACGCGGCTGTACGTGCTGGAGGCCGCCACGGCCGGCAGCCCCCTGCCCTCCCCCTCGGAGCTGCCCGCCTCCCCAGAGCCAGCCTCACCCAAGCCACTCACCGAGTCCCCTGAACCTTCGGACGTCTTCCTGCCCTCGGAGGCCCCCTGCCCGGACCCCGATGCCTTTTACCAAGCGCTCTCCCCATTCTGCACACCCTTGGACCTGGGCCTGGAACGGTCCAGTGTGGACTCGGGCAACATCGCAGGTGGCGGCAGCGGCGGCAGCGGGACCCTTACTCCGGCCAGCCAGCCGGGCACACCCTCCCCGCTGGACGGGCCCCGGCCCTTCCCCGCGGCCCAGGGCCGCCACAGCTCCAGCCTCTCCAACGTGCTGGGGGACGGCAGCCTCCCAGAGCCCACCGCCAGTGGGGACGACACCTCCAATACCAGCAACCCTCAGGTGAGGCGGGCCCCCCCGCCACTGTGTGGTACTGGCAGGGACACCTCGAGGCACAGGGAGGGCAGGTGGCCTTTCGACAGGTGTAGCATCAGGGCTGCAGCTGCCAGTGGGGTCCCAGCATAGGGCAGGGCTTTCCAGGGTCCGTGGACAGCCCTATGGGTCCTGCCTGGTGCTTCTGGGCCTGGGGTTTGGCCTCTGCTTATTCTATGGCATCCTCCAGAGCATTCCGGGTGTTGTTGTTTTTTTAATGTATCTTTATTGATTTCAGAGAGGAAGGGAGAGGGAGAGAGAGAGAAACATCAATGATGAGAGAGAATCATGGATCGGCTGCCTCCTGCACGCCCCCCACTGGGGATCAAGCCCACAACCCAGACCTGTGCCCTGACTGGGAATCGAACCGTAACCTCCTGGTTCATGGGTTGATGTTCAACCTCTGAGCAACACCAGCCAGGCGAGACCTTACTTATTTTAAAGCCAGGTTTACTAGGGCAGAATTTACATGTAATAAAATGTACTCTCCTTAAGTATAAAGTTTAATGAGTTTTGGAAAATATACACTGTCTTATAACTGTCACCACAATGAAGATATGGAACATTTTAATCACCCTAGTCCCCTCACCACTGCAATCAGGTGCAATCATTCCCTCCCTCAACTCAACTCCCTCCCTCAGCCCCCAGGCTCTGGCAATTTTGATTTGATTTCTGTCCCTTTTTAAAAGTTTTTCCTTTATCATAATAACATATAAGTGGAAATATACCATATGTTGCCTTTTGTGTCGAATTTAATGCAGCATTAATGATTTTGACAATCATATACATCACTGCATTTATCAACATGTCACTTTTTATGTCTGAGAAGTATTTTGTTGTATGAGTGTATACAAATTAATGCCTGTAGC